GCTGGCTGGGGAATTCTGGGAGTTGAAGTCACACTTCTTAAAGTTCCCAAGGTTGACAAACACTGGTCTAATGTGTGGTCCAAGATATCAGTCTCTCTCTTTACTATACAGTTGGCATTCAGATAATACATGAACTATATCCTCTTATCTCTGCAGCAGCCGAAATACATGTACATTTGTGGTAAGGAACTTGGTTAAATGTCCATATTTAACTATTGTGTCTAGCTGCTCAAATCTTGTTTCCGTCAATAGCCTCCTGAGATGCTTGGGCATTCCTGTATTTCGATATTTTCCAGTTTGAAAGGTGTGGTTATAGTAGCTGATCCATTTCAATGTACCAACCTTATTGAGGGTAGCTGTATCTCTCTGAGCTTCTATACCCAAAATTCTTCATGCAGCAGTCTTTTCAGCTTGTTTTCCAGAGACAGTTGGACAAAAATCATGGAGGCCACAACTCTTAATATAATTTGTAGGTTGTGCAGTCCAAGAGGTCTCTAACTGAGGTTTTGTTTGTTCTATCAGAAACAATTTTCCATGGAATTGTTTCCCCACTAGTGATTATACGCCCTAGTTTTTGACAAAGAACGAATTGTACAAATTCCCAACTCAACTCTGACTGCAGCCGTTGGGATCATTTTATCCCAGTGCTCCTCAGATGCTGTGATAGTTTTTGCCCTACTGATTTAAGTCCCAAACCTCAGCTCCATATAAGAGCGTAGGGGGAACTTTGGTTCTATACGTCTTAATAATTGAAGCTAAGGAACCTAGATAACAGTGATTTACTGATTTTAACCATGAATTCATACATGCCTTCATGCTGAGTGAGCTCCTTCCATGATGAGGTGGCCAAGACCCAGGCTTGGAGAAGTCAATTTCTAAATAAGGAAAGGTGGAGTCCTTGGGGTTCTCTGAGCTTGGTTCTTTTCTTGCAAACGTTTCATTACCCGGCTAGGTAACATCTTCAGTACTGTATTGTATTGTACTGTACTGTACTTCAGTACTGAAGATGTTACTGAAGATGTTACCTAGCTGGGTAATGAAACGTTTGCAAAAAAAGAACCAAGCTCAGAGAACCCCAAGGACTCCACAGTTTAACCCTGAGCTACACATATTCACCTCTATCGATAAGGAAAGGTCTTAACTTGCTCTGTTAAGTCACCATCAAATAGCCCTCTGGGGCTCTGACGTCTTTTCCCAAAGAGCACGGTGATTTGATGTATTAATTTATTTGATTTATTAATAATCAGAGAATGATCATGACAGTTAGGAGCCAAGTCTTGTTAACCACCTACACAGCCCAACTAGCAAATATGATAATAGAATCATCATCTGGAGGAGTGGGATGTTTGTCTTTAATTTTGTAAGCCACCCAGAGTCACTTGGGTGAGAGGGGTGGCTATATGAATAAAATAAAATAAATAAATCATATCGTCAGCCTATAGCAAAGTGTTGCAATGTATGTTGAGTACCTTAGGCACGTGTACTTCAGGATCCTATTAAGTCATTGATGTATAGATTAAACGGCAGTGGTGTAAGTATGCACCCCTGTCTTACTCCTTGGTAAGTACTGAACCTAAAAGTCAGGGCTCTGTTGACCCCAAACTGCTCCCTCAAGCAGTGTTTGTGTAAAGGGCTTTGATCAGTGCAAGCAATCTGGGTTCCATCAATTTCCTCCATAATATTTCTTTGTTAACCGTGTCAAACACTGCACCAAGACCTATAAAGGCAGCAAACAGTCGCCTCCCTTGGCTGACATATTTAGTAATTAGATGGTTCTGAACAAAGCAGTTATTGATAGTAGGTCAACCCTGTCTAAAGCCAGATTGTTCTTCGGCTAGGAACTCATGTCTTCCTTTTTCTTTCTGTTCTCTTTCTCCAATCTCTCCTCAATGGGCTCCTACCACAGCCTTGTCTCCATTTTTCCAACATCCAGAATCGCAATCTGTGGAAGAAAATGGCATGGCCCGTTTTGAGTGTCGGATCAAAGGTTTGCCCGCTCCGGTCATCACGTGGCAGAAGGACAAGGTGGCTCTGCCTTCTGAACCAAGGTAAATTAGGCTGGGGTAGCAATTCTGTGCTTCTAGTCTGGGCTCACCAACTGCATCCAACACAACAGGGTTAGTTTGGTCAGAGCTGTAGCATTGTTGCCAGCTGTAGTTTATGCCTAAATTTGATGCATGAATGGACTTGTGTCAACTGACAGGTTTATCTCTGGGTTGTCAGAATGGTTCAATGTGTATACTGTATGACTAGCTCAAAGAGAGTCTTAGAGGGGTATTTTGATTTGATCCAGTGTAGGAATTAACCTTTCCTCTTCATCCTTGGTTTCAAAGGTTCATTGTTCTCCCAAATGGCGTTCTTCAGGTCACTGATGTCAAGGAGAGCGACGCTGGCGTCTACCGTTGCGTGGCGACCAACGGAGCAGGAAGACGCTACAGCCTTGGTGCTCTTCTCACTCTTTTGAAAGGTACATTTTAAAAATTGGGGGGTGGGGGGGCTGATTACTAGAGGCTATCTCTAAAAGCCCAAAATGAGCAAGTTACTCTCTTTCAATCTCAGTTGCTTCCATCTGTTGCATGGATATAATAGTTCTGGCAAAATTATTGCACGGGTTTTTGAGAAAACTCACTGGAAGGGCTTTCAGATATTCTAAAGCAAGAGCAAGCAGCTTATGATAAGCTGAAATCTTCTCGATACCTGCAGGAGACCAACTGGTGAAGCACTGATATCACTGGGAAGTATCTGACATTTCAGGGGAGGACTTAAAAGTGAGAATAGGAACAGGGGACATCTGGGAGGCAAGGCGCTACCAATTCCACCATAAAGCTCTCCCCAGATCCTGAAAACCAGCCCCAAACGTCACTACCAAGATTTGACTATTTTGGCACTGAGTTTCAGCAACATAATTTCTGGACCAAGAAGCATGCAAATGCAGTACTGGAGAATCCCAGGGGTCCCCCATCTCTGCTCCAAAATGCTATATATATAGGATCGTGGTTTGATGTATCATGTGTACATGTGACCTTTTATCAGGGAAATAAAAGAAATAGGAAGGGGAAGGGTCTTTGTGCTAAGACATTTTGGGTAGACCCTGCAATGGAAAGGAAAAAGAAAGGAGTGTTGGCAAATTCTGTTGTGCCCGCTTAATACGGGACAAAGGATTTATGTCTTAGGGCCTTTCCAAAGTCATGGCATAGTTTTCAAAGCTTATCCATCTGCTTGTGTCATCAAAGTCCTAGGAATTACGTGAGCAATGAGATCTGCATTGAGTTGACAACTGATCATTAGCAGAGACATTTGTCAGGATGATGTGTCAAAAAAGTCAAGGCAGCAGCTATGACCCTGTGGTATGCCTGCTTCTTTTTTAATGTGTGCCCCATGCCATCTTGACTTTTTAATTTTTGCCTTCCCCTCCCTGCCCATTAATCAGAAGCAGAAATCAAGGTGTTCCCTCGTATTGGCCTCTTCTGTTCCTGAATTTCTGAAGGAAGGGTTATGGGTCATATGGCATTCATGATATTAACATGGGATGAGGATGGGAGAGAAAAGGCCATGACTTAAGCCAATTTCCCTCTGCTCCCAACCTGGGGATAACACTGAGTATTCAAGACCAATAACCCTTGACTGACCTGTCTTCCTACAGTCATCCAAGTTAATGACTATCAGTGAATCTTGTGGTACTGAGTTCTGCAGGTTAAGGATATAGGATGTGGAGATATGCTTGCTTTTGTCTAAAGAGGCAAAAAAAGTCCTTGCTTAATCTTCTAGTCAGCTTCCTTGTGTGGCCCTGGTCCTAGTGCTTTTTAGAAATGGGAAAAAATTCTCCTTGCCCAGTTCTTCTCCGCCATGCCTGATTTTATACAACTTGAAGGAGTCTCCCTACACCATGTTAATCAAGACTGCCTTTATATAATTGTAAATTAGCAGAAGCACCTAAAGAAGAAAGCCAGAAACTGGATAGCCTTTCCTTCCTTCCTTCCTTCCTTCCTTCCTTCCTTCCTTCCTTCCTTCCTTCCTTCCTTCCTTCCTTCCTTCCTTCCT